AGGCAATTATTGGACTAATGTGATTCGTGGTAAGTAATATCACTACTAGGATGGATTAGTTGAAACATACCTGACAATGCTCTTGAATAGCGCTCTCTCTATCGATCATAGTTAATATAGACCAATTTGGCTTCTGCTCAGTGAGTGTTGAATAAATATATTTAAAGCTAAACCTCATATAGTTGTGGTGGAAGTCAGACCTTCTGACGCCTCCCGTTACTACAAAAATAAATAGATGTGGATCAAGGCGTCATCTAGCAAAGTTTTTGCTCTAGTTGTTGAGCTGAATACCTTTATAAAGGTCATTTCCTAACATAATACCTAATCTGAGCCATAATAGCTCCTCCAATTTAAAATGTAATATGAGTTCTATATGCACGCATATGACCACCCCCCAACCTAGAGTTACCGAAGAGTCTGGTCCCTAAAGCGCACAGATCAAACTAGTCACCGTAAGCACATCTATTGCTACTCAGCAGAGATAGGCTAATGAGAAAGGTACTTGTTTCAGGCTGCGGTTCACCAGGAAGGCTAAGGGTTCAAGGAGTTTTCCCTCTTGCGGTCTAGAACTGACTCTCTGACTTTGAAATAGTGATCCCCTTGCCAGAATCTGTACGTACCTTCGTCACTGGATGATTATAACTTCTGTTCATGAATTTGGGCAATTCCCTGATTAAGTGTTCAGAGCAAAATATACAAATAAACTGAATTAATTGAATTGGGAATTTTAAAGTTAACATTATTAGTCAGCACATTCTGGTCAACACATTGTTGAAGTCTCGCGCAAAAACAATCCACAATACCTAGGCTCTTACAGGTAATTCACAAATGTATTACTGCTGTCCACAAAATATTCTCACGACCCTCTTAAAACAATTAGAAACACGGACCAGGATCCATTTATAACATAAAATTTATTTAGATATATCTGCATATATATATCTCCCTTGAGAGAGGAGGGTGTAAGGATAAGATGGCATCTTTGTTGCAACAGAATGGTTGAACCTCATGTACAGTGCTGGTAAATACAGCAAAAGTATATAGTGTAGAGTGAAAATTCATATTCATAACATGACTATTGGTTCCAGACCAAGTATATCTACATATTAAAACATGATCTAGGAGGGCGATCATCTTATAATAGTCTTGCCACAAGCCCTCCAAATAAAGCACCAATTTTCGGGTTTATAACATCATAACTGCAAGAATGGGTTAAGAAGACGTTTGGCATAATTGTGTATATTCTCTTTATATTATTGTAATCCCGATCATCACACATCTAGGGTAAATTATGATGATCTCCCACATAGAGGAGCACTTTATATATTGATGGACTGTGTAATTTATGGAAAAAGCATCAGGACTATTGTTTGATATGTCTGTTCAGCGATCCAAGGATCTTTAACTACTGGCGGATCGGAGTGTATCAGCCAGATATTAAACAGGAGATATATATATCATAATGACAAAAGCTTCATGTCTTACGAGGAGTGCAAGGAAAGTAATATTGGATACTGGTGCCCATCCCCTCACTTAGCTGGGATGCACTCCCATAGATTGCAATAGGGAAATCATGAGGATATGTGAACTATGGCACTAAGACTAAATACTAGAGCATCAGAATTCATTTAACATCGAGACCTGAGCCATACTGAACGTTGAACATCGATACGAAGCATTTTATCTAAGAGGACCATTGCCTTTGGTAACTCGCACACATATAGATCTTTCAGATGACGTACATCACATCCTGTTGTACGTTATTAGTTCATCAAAAATTGATCTAACTCATACTGTTTTTTATTAGTAGTTTTTCTAATCAACAACTCCAAAGGGCTAGAAGAGCTATAGCAATTCACTATTTTACAAACAAGATCAGCTTGACCTCAAAAAGAGATGAATCTCATCGAGTCGCTTGCTGCTCTCTGGGTGCTCCTCCAAAGCGCTCAGCCTCTTCACCATAGGAGGTTATCCTCACTACGCTCCAATGTATTTAATATTCAGTCATTAGCGTTTCTCAGTATGAATTAAGGGCAGGTTCATGGACATTATAGCAAGCACAACTCAGAGGCAAACCTATACGTCAGGCATCGAGTATAGTGTTGGAAGTATAATTAAGGTATGCAATTATGTCAAGAGTAACTCAATACACAACACATTATTAAAGCCATTAATCCAAGCGACTAATAAACGTGTACACGCAACCCGTCAAACGAACAGACAACCATTATCGTAATTGGACTCATATAATGTGTATACAGGAAGAGATACCTGACTATGTTGTTCCACTATCCTGGTGACAGCAAATCCTTATGACAAAATGTCACCGTGAACGTAGTCTGGTTAACATATCCTGACCCGATACATAATGGTATACCCCATGCCCGTAAGATCACGTATTTGAATTCAACTAAAAAGGCTCCACTGCAACTAAATCTAACTTTATAAGCAATCTCAACCAATTCCTTAACATGTCTGTAACAGGCACATAACACTAAAATAATAGAAAGCAAGAGAAGAGAATATTGGTTTTCAGATAAGCCTTGTATCCTATGCGCAGATGTTGCTTTGCACATAAACTATACGACTCGATCAAATGGAAACGATCCATAAATGTAGGGACTGACCGGGAACAAACCCTTTCTCTGCTATTTGGAACCAGACGCCCACATAAATCTGTTAACAAAAAGGACCTTATTGAGATTGGAGCCTGCCTTGTGTCTGAAATTGGCGACATCACGATGAAGGCCACCCATTTTTCACCCAATGAATTTGTATATGTGGTTTATACTCCAGCTCTAGTACTCAATTTTAGAGCAATGAAGTTTTAGCCATAAGTCTATTATTTTTGCCCTGATATGATGAAATTACTTTGATTCGGTGTTCATACAGAGAAGAGAAGAGAGAAGTTCTTAACCGAACTACATTAAAGTTAGTTTATGTCCCTATCCCTTTCTCTCTCTCTCTCACCACAAGCAGTAATATCGCCTCGATAACTAGCGAACTATACCCTTAGTTGCTTAGCTCTAAGTGAGATGATAAAATATTATATTAATATTCATTTTGCAAATATACATAACGATAATCCTAACCCCAGAACCTTCCTCAAATAGATATGTATAGACAGTGTTCGAAAGCTGAAATATATTAATCAGGAATGCTTGGATGCCAATTTTCTCCTGTGCGGTACTTACTAGTCTCTTCTTTGCCTGTGTCACACCAAGGTGCCCAGTGAAGGTGAGGGTGATGTTAGTACATGTCTATATATTTTGGGCCTGGGATGTGCACTGACACAAGTCAATAAATCAATACGTCATTTCTTAAATTTTTATTTTTTCCTTTCTGTAAAATAGAAACGTACAATAAAAATAAGCTTTATGTATTTTAAGTTTAGTTAATTCAATAATTTAAACACATTTGATACTACTTAGTAAACCATATACCTATCCATTTTGCGACCGCTACCTCTTTCCTAATGCACTTATAACTACAAAAAGCCTTAATGTACTGATAGGTAATTAACCGTAATTGCTTCATCAGAGTGGGCATTCTAAGGTTCCAACATCTACTTATATGTTGCTATTTATAAAAGATCCATATATTAGGGCAACATGACTTAATTGTTATGTTTTCAACAGCAATGGGCCTCGCATAGTATGAGTCACCAAACTTGATCAATCGAGTTATGACATTTGTCGGAATACTGGGTTTGGTCAAACAGATGAATGTGGACTTGACCTTTGAGCTAATGTGACCGTGCCCCTGGAAAAGGCTTTGACTTAACAAAACTTCTCACTACCTCTCCAGTAATTTAGACTGGGGATTTGTGGGCCTACACCTGCCATGCTGCCATACGTTCTTGCGCAGTCTAACCTGATTGGACGGCACAATCGCTTTGTACTGCATAAAGCTAAGCCACCTTTCTACGAGTTAACAAGCAAACAGATTGCCGAGAACTAAACCAAGCTGAATTAGATAGGCTGTCATA